CATACTTTTACTGGTACATGTAGAACCTAAAAATGTAAAATGTAAACAAAGCCAATCAGAGGAAATCTCTAAACTTTGTTCTGTAATTTTATACCTTAGCAGTGTACTTTTTGTTTATAGGCTAGTAATAATCTGGGTGGAGCTAGAATACATCTTTTCTTGTTTCTCAGAGTCTTTCAGACTAACTGACAAATGTCTTTTCATTTTTGTGGAGGTATCAGTACAGTGTCTGTAGATGACTTACATTTATACTGTAATTGTGAAAACCTATCTATGTAAAGCTTTAAAATGTAAAAGTAAAATACTACTTTTGGCACTTCAAGACACTGTATGATATAACATTTTCCCCACCAGAAGCATAAAGGACACATCTACCTGCTCTCCTGTCTTCCATGTCGAATTGTTCCAATTTGCTATGATCTTGCACTGCAGGAAATCACAAGATATTGTGAAAATAAGGTAATTTAGTATGTCAATCCCATATAAAAATATGGCACAGAAATTAAATAATCAGTTAAACCTCAATGGCTCTTCTAATCAAAGATTACAGTGACATGGTATTATCTGAAGGGTTGTGCAAAATTAGATTTGAATGAAAAAATTTAAAACAAGGCTTTGTCAATCCAAAATGTAAAGTTTGTCTTGATAAACTTTGCTTTTTAATTAGTTATATGAATTTCTTCTAATTTTAATTAATTCTCATTTTGCTTCCTTTTATTCAAATTCTAAATAGCCATCCTGTCTACCTTAACTCAAATTGAGAAACTGAATTTGAAATTTAAAAGAATGGCGCACAACCCTTATCAATTACACACACAAGCATTTAACAACATTTAAAGTGGTGTCTTACTGAGTGGGGGAATCCTTTCCATACTAGTTATACGGCTAGATGGCTGATCTAAAATTGAAAACATGTAAACAAAATTAATCAAAATCGTCATAATATATCACAATCAAAAATGTATAAATTCCAGTGAAGAACTTGGTCATTGTCACAATCAGGTTCAGAGGAAGATGATGAAAATGGTTCAAACAGGTTTCCACAAACAAAAGGTTCTTTAATAAAAACAAACTCAGGTAATCCAAATGCGAGACGGCAATGTAACAGCACATCTACACATGAACAATACCAGACAACAACTGAATGAAAGGAGGAACTTAAATACACAGCGTGATAGAACTCAAATGATGAACAGGTGATGACTCGTTAATCAGAAACCATAGTAACAAACTATGGTGGGAACATGGAACAAAGGAAAGGCCATAGATAGAAACACATGAAAACGAACCAAAACAGGCAGTTTGTGACAGTCATACAATAGTTTTCATGTAAAATCTCTGTATTTTCTTATATTTAAAGATAATTTTTGTTTCTCACCATCTCTCAGACTTACCAACATGCTTGAGTGTTTCTTCAAGCAACTTTATGGTTTCATTTAGTTTGACTCTTTGTTGCATAATGTCTTCATGGGTTTGCTTTATCACACTGCAGAGATGTTTCACTCTCTCAATCTCTAAAATGAACCAAATACAGTATCAGGGTGAGTCCTTCAATTTGTCAGATGTATTTGAAGGACAAAAAATAATTATGCAAAATAAAATGATACATACTTTCATACATGTTAATTAAAACATAAAAAGTACTTAAGCAATATAAACCTGTTTTAGTCAGGACACCAAGCTAAATATGCATACACAACATACAAGTGTTTTTCCATGTATGAACTAGAGAAGAGAATCTGCAGCTGCAGCTTGAACAATATCTTACCTCTCACTTGCAAGTGAACTACTCCCCTCTTTTGACATCCATCATGAAAGACTTCGCATGTATAGTCTCCTGAATCTGATGGCTGAACATTTCTCAAAATCAGAGCAAGATTTCCTCTCCTCAGCTCCTGGATGGACAGACTCACTCGGTTCTCAAAGTCATTATTTGTCATCTCCTGTCTGTTCATATACTGATAAATGAGCTCTGTCCCTCTGAACCATCTGATTTCCATGGACACAGCACTGGTTTCAGGTAAGAGATGAATGGGTAAAATGACGTCTTCCCCAGGGGCAGCACACACAGGGCCAGAAGAAACCACAAGACTAAAGTCTACAGCTGGAGAGAGAACTACATTTATTATCAAAAACATGAAAAGTAGAAACATTCATAATAATTTTAACACTGTAGTGTTTATTACCATTTTCATTTCTGATTTACTAGCTGAGATTGGAACTTGGTGTCAAAAGGCAGACTTTGATATACATATGGCATGAATTTGACAGGCATTTCTCCTTTTCTAGCTTGCTCCCTAATCTAGTTGTCTAATAAAGATATTATTACAGCAATATTTTTCTGTAAAGATGCATTGAAGCAGTGTCCATTGTGGAAAACTATAAATAAAACTGACTTGACTGTGCATTTTATCAGTACTTGTGCTCCTAGGGAATCGAACCTGTGGCCAAGAGTCGTTTTGACTAATATGGATTATCTTTGAAACTTGTTTAGTTG